CCCTAAACCCCAAGCCCTATAACCCCTATGCCCTGAATAAACTCTGGGAGCCTGATGCCCAAACCCTAACCCGATGGCATTCTGTGTCTTCATGCGCTGCTCTAGGTTTCTTCTGGCACCTTCAGGATAATCCCGGTCATGTAGGGGCCTTTATGGTTAGAACAGTTTTGTGATACGTTATACTATAACCATAATATGGACCCCCCCCTCCCCCCTCCCCCCCCAAAAAAAACTATATTCATCCCGGTGCTTGAAAACCTAAACCTTAAACCCTATAGTATATTAACCTCGGACAGTCGGGTTCAGGGTATAGGGCTCTGGGGCTTATGCTTTCAGATTGTGGGGCCTCATGGGGGCTCAAAGGGTCTGAAGATTTGGTTGGAGGGTACTTAAGGTTTAGGGGTTTAGGGTTTAGGGGTTTAGGGGTTTCGGGGTTTATAAGTTTAGGGGTTTATAGCGGTTTAGGGGTTTAGGGGTTGAGGGGTTTAGGGTTTAGGGTTAGTAATCCTGTCCACCCCCACAGTCCCTTCTGCACTGACAACGGAACCCAAAGCCTGTCCTAACACAGCCCTGAAATTCCAGGATTCAGCAGTTTAGGGCTCAGCTTCTTCTTGGAGGTTGGAGGCCGTTGAGGGCTTAGGGTTTATATTTTGGGTCAGGGTTCAGGCTTTGCGGCCGTGCGGCTTCCAAAGTATCGGACCAGCTTGTCACTCTCCATGGTGGCCTCGGGGAAGTCGTCGGAAGCAATACCCATTTTGGGGTTCAGTTTCCATGCTGGCCGAGGCAAGACACCCCTAAGTTTTGACCTGATAGGACCTAAACCCTAAACCCCATTGGGTGCTTCAGTACCTCCTGAACTCTGGACCCTGAACCCTTGTCCTGTTTTGCGGCATCACAGAAACTCGACCGCAGGCCTTATGAGATTACAGGGACGAAGGGCCGTAAGGTAGGGGGTGTTTAATCGGCGCAAAATTAGAATCATTAGAATAGGGTTTGTGGTTTATGAAAAATTAGAGTGCATAAATATGGGTCAAGAACCCAAAAGGAATTGTATTAAGACGTATTCAGGTTTCTGCATCAGACACATCCAAGTCGTTTCCAGCCAACCTGCGCTTGCTGGGATCTGCTAGCATGAGCCGGTTTCCTGGGGTGCCCATCTCACCTTGGCCCAAGCTAGAAATCACCTAGAGTTTAAGGTTTAGGGGTTAAACCCTACACCCTAAACCCCTTTAACCCTAAACCCCAAACACTAGACTCTAAACTCTCATTTAGGGTTCCGTTTCGGGAGACCCTAAACACCTAAAATGCAGTGATTTCGTCCTCAGCTACTCTTACGAAACGCTACAAAGCACCGGCGCCCTAACCCTTACACCCTTAACTCCCCAAGCCCTGAACCCTAAAGCCCTATATAAGACCTCCTGGTTCAGGATTAGGCTTTAGCGTTTAGGGTTGCAGGATTTGCGGCTTAGAAGTTCGGGGTAAGTTGTGGAGGTTGTGGGGTTTGGGGTTAGGTTTCAGGGAGGAAGCTACGCATAGGCCCCATAGTAGTTCCTTTTTGGGATTACCTTATAGGATTCTGAATATGAACCGCAAAAAGGAACTATGGGGCCTATGGGTAAGCTTGAGGCCGCACTGGTAGAAAGAAAGGATCCATGCACTTGGGTTTCTTCGTGTTTCGGCTTGAAGGAAAGGCTCAGGCTGTGGGTCTTAGAGCGGCGCCCAACCCGCCCAACCCTTACTCCTAAAAACCCTAGGGGCCTTAATAATCAGAATAGGATTTTGGGGTACATTATACTCTGGTTATACTACGCAATTATTTTGGCCCCTATATTCACCTGATTGCAAGATAAACTCGGCGAATTTTCCCCCTCCCATGCCCCCAAGTATCCGGCACTCATCAAACACAAGCAAAGATCGGGCCGACTTGCACGAACCTGACCTGCACAGTTGCCGGAGTGTACATGATAGCATTTCAGGCTTCGAGGTTTGGGCGGCTGAGGGTCTGGGTCTGTTGGCTAGGGCTTTGGGTGCAGGGTTTAGGACTTAAAGCCAAAAAGTAGGGCGATGCTATGTCATCGGATGCTTTCACATCAAGTGTGTGGGTGAAGGCATCAGTAGACTCAACCGCGAAGGATAAGATCCCTGTCATATCCAACCCCTGTGAACCACTCCTGTTAGGACTGGGATGCAGGCTCAGCCTTTCGGGGCTTGGGACATCCAAATGCTTTGCTGTCGAGGCTGAAGTGGTTGAGGGCTTACAGTTTCGGGACAAGCCCAATACTCAAGCCCCGAACAGTTCAACCCAAGATCTACATCTCCCTTAGACACAATAAACCCTAAACCCCAAATAATACCTAAACGTATACTTCACGTATGATAATACCCACAAACCACCAGAGCATCGGTCAGGCTCCGCAAAACCATGTGGCCGATGGGTGAAGAAGCGCTTGAGGAGAAACTTATACGGATCCTCATACAGAGGCCTTAATAATTAGAACACGGTTTGGGGTATATCATACTTTACTTGTTAGAATAAGGAACCCCCAAAAATAGTATAGGTAATTATTCTTTAAAGCCCTACATTATACGGACCCTACAATTGTTCTACAGTTCTGCATTTCTACACGTGCTTGGTAAAGCTTTGTGTAGAGATCCGTATGACGGTTCCTGCCCACTGACTAAATCCTAAACATCGAACCCGGAACTGGCCCGGAACCCTAATACCGAGCGGCCTATATAAATTCCAAATCGACATCTCCCAAAACCTAACCCGCAGAGGGCTCTAAACCATCCTAGACTCAAAGCCCAAAACCAACAATCCTGGAGTCTGAAATATTTAGGGTTTAGGGTTAAATGTTTCCGAGGCAGCGACGCAGAAGGAGCATCAGAAGGTCGCAGTCAGCACTTCGCCTCAGCGCCGGACAATTCCATGAGGCTGCTGCGCTGTGAGGCTTTGGAAATCAGGGTCTTCGGGTTTGGGCTTTGGGCTGTCTGAACAAGAACCCTTGCTGAGATAGTTAAAGTACGGATGAGAAAAAGAAGCGTTGTTTTCGCGTTTTTGCAGGGACTGCAAAGGGATACCATTACGGTTATGATCATTCAGACCTGGGGCAGAGGTTTTCGAGCCTGAGCCAACATAGCATGTATGACAATCCTCAAAGTCTCATCCCAGGTAGTCTTATTCGGGAATGCTTTCCCAAATTCATTCCTAATGTAGAGACGCTACATTCTACTACATAGCAACTTAGGACCCTTTGGGCTTTGCATGATTATTTGCATATTGCACAATATATTCAGAAACTGTCATGCTCTCATTGAGCTGCCCACTCGTGGACCTCATCGATGAAAATATGGGTGACCTGGCCGGCTGATGGGAACTTCCCACGCAATCCATCAAGTCTGCTATCCGAAACCCTAAACCCTAAAACCCCTAAACCCTAAACCCTAAAACCCTCAAACCCCGAATCCCCACCACCCGAAACCCTAAAACCCTAAAACCCTAAAACCCTAAAACCCTGAACCCTAAAACCCTGAACCCTAAACCCCGAGCACCAAGACCCCGAAGACCGAATCCTTAAAAAAAACTTCATGGATTGCAGAGAAGACCTAGTGTAGGGGCCTTCACAATTAGAATAGGGTGTAGGGTTTAGGGTTTAGGGTTTGGGGTTTAGGAAACCCCCCAAATAGTATAGGTCATTCTTTGGGCCCCTACTTTTTTCAAGCTCGAATGAACCAGGGCATCCTTTGACAGGTTCTTCAACCTTGCGCCACAAGGCCCTCAACCCCAAACCCCTTAAACCTCATAAGCTTTAAGCCATAAAGCCCCAAAACGCCTAAACCCCACGAAACCCAGATCCCCAGAACCCTAAACCCATACACCCCTAGACCGCAAATCCGAAACCCGGACTGCCGGGTTGACCGGTGCAAAGCACGGCAGACTCTAGATCTGACGCTGTTCTACGGCAGGGCAGAAAGAGGTGTAATCAGGGTTTAGGGTTTAGGGTTTAGGGGTTTAGGGTTTAGGGTTTAGGGTTTAGGGTTTAGGGGTTTAGGGTTTAGGGTTTAGGGTTTAGGGGGTTTTGGGTTTAGGGTTTGGGGTGATTCCCGAAGGCACTGACCACCATTCTGAGCACTTTCGGGCTGCATACTGTGCAGGTGAAGACCCGTGTGACACACCGGCAAGGCAAGAACCCCCCCCCGAATCCTCTGAACCCTAAACCCTCTAAACACTAAAAACCCTAAGAAACCCTAAACCCTCTAAGCCCTAAACCCTTATGCTCTCGAAGACCGAAGCCCTAACCTCTTAAAGACCTTGGGGCCTATAACTCTTAAGCCCTAACACGAAACTTGAATCCTAACGCGAAAAATTCCGAAAATGCTACCAAGCCAAACTAGAACCATGCGACCAACAATGCTTTTAATGAACCTGTGGGGCTGTGTTGTACTGACATGAAAAAAAAAGAGAACTCTGACGATACAGCGTTCCAATAACACACCTTTCCAAGCCCTTTATCAACCCTAAACCAAAGCCCAATGACATCATGAGCCAAGTCCAACCCCAAACAAACACTCCCTAAACTCGTAAACCCCCGAAACACCTAGATAAGAACGACCCTATAAGCCTTAAATCCCTATAACCCCATCAAGAACTCCAAGCCCTAAACCCTGAAAGCAATAACCCCCCTATAAAACGCAAAATGCCAAACTCTCCACCCTAAAGCCCTTGACCCATTAAACCCGTATAAAACGCTAAAGCTTAAACCCCTAAGCCCTAAACCC